CCCCCCCCCCCCCGCCCCGGGCTTAGGACGCGTGAGATCCCGAATAGCGCTTATTTCTGGTCAACCTCCAAAGTCGTTTGTGGTCGTGGGGGTGTTTCAAAAGTCCCTGATCCAAGCGCCTACTTAACCGCAGTCCAATCGGTTATATTTTCCAGACTTCTCGCACAGAAGGGAAGCTAGAATCCGCTCCTCTGGACTGGCTGGAGTGACTGCTCACACTCATCAGGTGGCGAGAGAAAACTGCGGGAGTGAAGCGCTGCTCTGCCCCGGAGGTAGGAGAAATCTACCGCCGGAGCTGAGAGGCGCGAGTGGGGGGGCGTCCTCGGCGCGGGGTCCGGGCTGCTCGCAGGGCGGGTCTTACCCACCCGCCCCCAGGCCCCCCGCAGCGTCTTTCGCATCTCCCGCCGGCCAAAACCGGCATTTGAATCTTAATGGACTCTTCTGTAATTCCTGGGATTTCAGAGCTCTCCACCTACTCGTTAAATTGAGGCTGCTTTTCCATACACCCTTGTCTTGCTAACCAGCTATGGCTCAGAAAGTCTTTATTCACCCAAGCCCCTCCCGTCTCCAGGTTAGCTCTGCATCCTCAACGCGGGGGCAGGAAGCCTTCTAGAATGAACGACACGGGTCCTTTCAGGTGGGATCCACTGTAAGTCATTTGAACTTCAAAAAAATTAATTTCAACGAAGTGAAATTCACCCCAGCATAGTTGTTTTAAGTGTCTTGGCTGTATCTTGATGGCCTAGACGTTAGAATTTGTTTTCCCCGCCCCTCAGGGAACACCCTGTCTAGCTTTAACAGGTAACTTGTATCATAGGAAGCAACTGTGAAGTAGCTGTGCAGCATGGTCCTCCTAAGTCATCTATCAGAGAGTCTTTCGGAAAGTGATGAATAGCCCGTTTAAAGCAAGCCACACACTCTTCCTGTCCTTTATCCCTCGTGAATAAAATGACACTCTGAAAGAAAAGTGAACTGGCAAACTTGTTGTCTGTTTAGTGCTGGCAGTTTCTACAATACAGTTTTTCATTACAGTTCACACTGAAGGTGGACTGTAGGAGAGTCAGGGAGACAGATCCTGCCCCTTGGATCTGCGTTTTCTGTTCTGCTTTTAGCAGGTCAGCCTCCTTCAAGCGAGCAGCTGAAAAGGTGGGCTTGGGAATATGGAACAGTGGATACCATTGCCACCTTGGAAAGCAAACGTGCATATTCTGTAGGAGCAGTTGACAAGTCGAAGGAGCTAATATCAAACAACATCAAACAATTATTGTTTCTTTTAACACCACAAGGCAGTGTCCCGGCCACTTACCTCTGAGCACACCCGCCTGTGTCAGCTCTGTGGCTCCTGTGCGTGGCTTTGCTGCTTATTCTCCTCAATGTATAACCTCACCCTCAAACGTCAGCAAGTCCAACACAGGGTGTGGGGTTGCTGTGGAGGGAAGGACGCATAGCTAGGCTGATATGCCAAGATCCTTTTCGAGATCCCTCTTGCTCCTGAAATCTCAAATACCTGATTGAGACCACAGCTGAAGTTCTGCCGCCTGTAGAGGAATTGATGGTCAAGTATGAGTTGGAATGGAATCTTCTCATTAGTGGGGGGTTTGTTTTTTGCCCAGGCCTTTTAGAAATGCTACCTCATTCGGGGTACATTGAATACACTCTTTAATGGAGACCAGGCCCATGTGAAAAGGTTTGAGAGAAGGCAGCAAGGATAAAATGATCATCTAAACTACATAAAAAGTGGGTAAAACCTCCTTGGGAGGAACAGCATGTTATATTTTAATAGAGGAATTACTGCCAAATCAAGGTAACTATGGAATAATAAGCAGTCTTGGCAGTGATAAGAACAGAGCCCATGTTACTAACTTGCCATTTGAACTTCACCACACGTTTGAACCTCTCCTGGCTCCACTTTCCTAATCAGTAAGAAAGAACGTTGAACTACATGGTCTCTGAGAATTTTTCCAGCTCTAACATCCTGAGCGCATTCTCTTAGTTTGAAGAGCCATCACCGTGTTGTTGTTACGTTCTATTGCAAAGCATCATTCTCCGATTGTTTTAGCAGGTCAATCTCATACCAACAAGATGCAGACCCCTAAGCGGGGTTGCCATCCAGGACCCGCGAAAGAAATTCATTGACTGGTAGGGCCAAATTTTCATTTTTGAAATGAATATGTGTCACATCCCTTCTTTCTTGCTCCATCACGTATCAGTATCATTTCTCCCCAGATTAGGAACATCTTGAGTCTCGGAAACCAAGGTTAAGACTAGTTGGGGTAACAAGAAACTGTTTCTGATAGAAGAAATAGAGATAGGTATCACGGCAGAGCCAAAAAGTAACCTTTTGCTTTACTTGGCATTTGGTTAGCCTCTGACTGCTCTTCTGGGTCTAGTTAGAAGCAGCATGATTTACAGGAATGTGGCAATATTGGCCTCAGTCCAGAGCATGTAACAAAAACACAATCAAAAGTTTCGACGGAGATAATCTACAGAAAAGACCCCAAATATTCATAGAAAAACCACTTTTTGTATTTTCTTAGGGATGTTTCCAAATAGGAAATTGTGACATGGGAGAATTCACAAAACAACTTTAGTATAGCATCTTAATAATTCAGGAAGACCATAGTAATAAACTAGACCACAAACACTGAGCACTGGAAGTGTCATTAGCCCAGATTGAGATGTGCTGTGAATGCAAAGTATACACCATATTTCAAAGATGCAGAGAGAAAAAAAAAAAGTCGCTCACTAATAATTTTTTAACATTTTTTAAAAGTTTAATTTATGTATTTTGAAGGGGGATGGCGGAGAGAGGGAGAGAGAGAATCCCAAGAAGACTCCTTGCTGTCAGCTCAGAGCCTAAGGTGGGGCTCGAACTCATAAACCATGAAATCATGACCTCAGCCAAAATCAGGAGTTGGACACTTAACTAATGAGCCACCCAAGCATCCCATCTCACTAATTTTTATATTAATTACACATTGAAATGCTAATTTTGGATGTATTAGGCTAAATATCTTCACACTAATTTCACTCATTTCTTTTTACCTTTTTTTAAGACTTTTTTCTTTTTAAGAGAGAGAGAGCACAAGTGAGGGAGAGTCACAGAGGGGCAGAGAGAGAGAATCCCAAGCAGGCTCCATGCTTAGCATGGAGCCCCATGTGGGGCTCAATCCTATCATCGCAGGATTACGACCTGAACTGAAATCAAGAGTCTTATACTCAACCAACCAATTGAGCCACCCAGGTGTCCCTTAAGATTTTATTTTTTTTAAGTTTATTTCATTTTGAGAGAGAGAGAGATAAGAGGGGGAGGGGCAGAGAGAGAGAGAAGGCGGAGCCACACCCAGTGTGGAACCCATTTTAGGGCTTAGTCTCATGACCATGAGATCATGACCTGAGCTGAAACCAAGAACCAGACACTGAACCCACTGAGCCACCCAGGTACCCTGATTTTTTACTATTTAAAATGTGGTTAACTAGGGGCACCTGGTGGCTCAGTTGGTTAAGCGTCCGACTTGAGCTCAGGTCATGATCTCATGGTCTGTGGGTTCGAGCCCCACATCAGGCTCTGTGCTGATAGCTCAGAGCCTGGAGCCTACTTCAGATTCTGTGTCTCCCTCTGTCTCTTCTCTCCTGCTTGTGTTCTTTATGTCTACCAAAAATAAATAAACATTAAAAAAAGGGTTTTTTTTTTCTTAAATAAAACATGGTCAACTAGAAAATTAAAAATTATGTGGCTTGCCTTATATTTCTATTGGATAAAACTGCTACAGGGGTTAACATTAGCAACTAAGACACATTTAGCATCTACTCTATATGAGGCATCTTTTTTTTTTAAATAGTTTATTGTCGAGTTGGTTTCCATATAACACCCAGTGCTCATCCCCACAAGTGCCCCCCTCCATGCCCATCTCCCCCCTCACCCCCCACATCCATCAGTCCTCAGTTTTTGTCAGCATTCAAGAGTCTCTCATGGTTTGCCTCTCTCCCTTTCCTCCACCATTTCCCCCCTTCTTCTCCCCCATGGTCCTCCGTTAAGTTCCTCCTAATCCTCCTATACGTGCAAACATATGATATTTGTCCTTCTCTGCCTGACTTATTTCGCTCAGCATGACACCCTCAAGGTCCATCCATGTTGCTACACAAGGCCAGATTTCATTCTTTCTCATTGTATGAGGCATTCTTCTAAGTGGTATATATATAACTACTGTGGCCATATACTTAATTATTCAATCTGGGACACTTTTGACACTTACGAGAATGAAAGGAGGCAGGCAAAAGGAGCCAGGATACTAGGACAAAAGGCATAAATTGGAACTGTCCTGAGCAAACTGAGAAGCCAGGCCACCCTAATGTTAGGTCAGTTAATCTCTATGATAGGGAGAAAGAATTTTCTATACTCTTCAAGATCCTTCTATCTGGACTCAGAATAAATTGACATGAGACAGACTAACAGGAGAAAATCACATTTAATTTTGGACATCCAGAGAATCCACACAGACAAATTCTAAGACAGCTGGACAACATGAGGCTTCTATGAGTTAAAAAGAATGGTAGGAGACAGGGGACACAAAAGAGGTGACCACTAGCAGGAAGGTGAAAGGAGACTTTTTGAGAACAAGGTTGCCCTCTCATGGAGATAAGTTCCTTAGTTAAAAAGGAATCTGTTAATAGTTCTCTTCCTGGTACATCAACTCTATGAGTGCCATTATTATCCCTTTTGGCACTTGAGGGAACTGGAGCACAGAGAAATTAAGTAACTGGCCTAAAGTCACACAGCTAGTGGCAATGTTAAGATTCAAATTAGGACAGGGGCGCCTGGGTAGCTTAGTCGGTTAAGCATCCGACTTTCGCTTGGGTCATGATCTCGTGGTTCGTGGGTTTGAGCCCTGCATTGGGCTCTGTGCTGACTGCTGGCTCAGAGCCTGGAGCCCGTTTCAGTCTGTGACTCCCTCTCTCTCTGACCCTCCCCTGCTCACGCTGTCTCTCTCTCTCTCTCTCTCTCCTAGAAATAAATAAAACATTAAAAAAAAGATTCAAATTAGGACAATCTGGCTCTAGAGCCTTTACTCTTGACTGCTATACAATATGGTTGCTTAAGATCTAATATAGATGGAGAATTTAATAGATGCAAAGTTTTTCTTAATACAGCAACTTGGACGGAGTATTATCCTATTTTTACAAGATGCAGAAACTGAGTTTCAAAGAGATCCAGTAACTTGTCCAAATCATAGAGCCAGAAAAAGTGGCAGCAAGAATCAAAGTTTGGGCCACCCGACTCCAGTGGCCCTGCTAACCACCACTCCGTATTGCCCTCAGGCCACACAGACTTATAAAGCACTTATGTATTAATCTCATGACTTCTCCCAGTGCTGGCAAAAGCCTGGGTGAGGTTAGCCTTACACAGGCAACAGCCACCAAAAGCTCAATCTTGGTGGCCTCTCCTTTCTGAAAAGGAACATTTTAAGATGATCCAAATAGCCATCATGTTGCTGAGACGGCGGTTCTGCCATGCATGTTAGAAATTCCAGAAAATGCTCTCCCAGAAATGTAGTCGAGGAGGGTATGATGAGAATTCAAGAAAATTGAGAAGGCAATTACTTGGTTAGCAGAAATCTAAGAGAAAAGGATTTCACAAACCTCCCCAGGCAGAAGCAATAATATGGGATGTAAATCTATGGCTGTGCCATATGCAGCTTTTCTCCTTCCTTTACAGTGGGTCACAATCTTGGCAGCCTATTAGAACCACCTGCATTTAAAGATCACCAATTGCCTTGGCCCCGTGCCCTAGGATACTGATTAAAGTGGTCTGGTGTGGGGCCCAGGCATTGGTATTTTATACCCTCTCCCTAGATTATCATAAAGTGGGGCCCGGCTTTATAGGCTGTTGCAGCCATGCCTGGAGCACCTGGTTCTTGGGTTAGCCTTGCAAGCAAAAATGATATTGGGTGAAGAGGGTGGGGTGGC